GTTTTGGTCCTGGCCAGGGCAAAGGAATTGCAAAGAGTATATTTCAAGTAATAAATTTAAACATTTCGAAACTTGAGGGGAAAAAAAGGTGAATTAAGAGGAAGCCAAAGATTAGGGTTAGATCTTGTTTAATCCAAACTAGGATATCTATCCCTGACAAAAATGTTGACCATGGCTATTCTCTTGGCACCGCGTCTGTTCTCTTCCCACCCTGCTTTCTTGGAAGTCACTGTGCTCTGGCTCTTCAATTAGAGACGGATAACTGATGCATTGCACACTGGAAAAAGCTTATCACGCTGCATTATTTGTTCCATCACTGGAGCCCCACCACCCCTGTGAAATCTATTTCTTCAAGTTTGAAAGGGACTTGGATAAACCACCTGGCCATCCCATCTGGGGCCGTCAACTGTCTGATCCAGGCAGTTTGTCACAGACCAGTGAAAATGGCATTGATGGAGTGAATGTGTCTCTGGTACATATTTTGGAGCAAGGGTTTGTGCAGATGAGCTGGCAGAGGAGCAGATGAGCTGTGTTTTGGAGGACCAACCAGACTGCAGCTCTCCTGTAGCTGGGAGCTCAGGCCTGAGTTTCTGCCCTTTTAGAGGGCAGTTTAGGTGTATGGATGGGGTAAGAAAAATGTTTTCAGGCTGTAAAAATGGAGGGATCAGGTAGCAGAGGTAATCCCAGGCTGCTGGAGCACATCACTTCAGGGTACTACCCTGGGGAATATCCAAGAGGTGGTGGACAGTGGGTGGAGAGGCAGGACCTCAGCCCCAGCTCTCACATCATATTGGAAAGAAAATTCCAATGTCAAGCAAGGCAAGAGGACTTCCTGACTGATGGAAAAGTCAGAGTTAGGAAGAATCCTTCCTGAAAAGTCATCTTAACTGGGTGAGGGCAGAAGCCATGTAATGGAGCTGGATTTGTCCTACCCTCATTTTTCATGGCTGGAGGGATAGCTTCCTATAGCCTAAGTTTGGGAAACACCTATGAAACACACTTCTCTGCTGTGTACCTCGGGGAGCTGGTGTGACTGCAAACCCCACACAGCTTGAGCAGCACAAGCCAAACTGCACAAAGCACTCACTGCACCACCACTGCCTGCAGAGCTCAGTGGCTGTGGGCTACAGGAGAACAAAATGTTTAACCGTGGAGAAGGTGATGTATGGGTGGTGGCTGTGAGCCCTTTTTGGGTGGCAAACACCTGGAAAGCCCCTGAATCTGTCTTCCCCTTGGTGCCACTCTGGAGGCTCTCCTGGGGAGGAGGGTGGTGGGTTTTGCCTGAATCCCTGTTACTGACCAAAACTGCCACAGGAAAAAGAGCAGATCACAGAAGCTTTCAGTGAAAACACTTCATTTGATCCTGTGGGCTTGGAGTGGCCAGCAGAGTCATGGGGAAAGATTTCAAAGGTGCCGGGTTGAGGTCTGAGGGCTCTGCTGAGGCTGCTATAGCACTGAGCCCAAGGGCAGTGCAGTGCTGGGTGTCCTTGCTTGGCACCAGAGAGAGGAGACTTCATCCCTGTGCTGCTGCAGGAGTGGTGGAAGTTCCAGCCCGACCAAGGGGGTGGGCAGCCCTACGAGGGCAGGACGAGGAATGTCCCCAGGGAGCAATGAGCCCAGAGAGCTCTTGTGGCCTGGGAGTCTGGAGCTGGTCAGTGTGTTGTGGGGCACAGGACAGGCTGACCAGCATTCCTTCTCATCCCTTCAGCTGTCGCCTGTCTCTTTTACTGTCTCTGTATAGACTTGCTTGTGAAGCTGCAGGTGTGGATTCTCTGTGTCTGGTATGGAGGTATTATCTCTGCAAACAGATTAGCTGCAAGTGAAAGAGGCACTAAGTTCAGCTGTCGCCTGTCTCTTTTACTGTCTCTGTATAGACTTGCTTGTGAAACTGCAGGTGTGGATTATCTCTGTGTCTGGTATGGAGGAATTATCTCTGCAAACAGGATTAGCTGCAAGTGAAAGAGGCACTAATGTTTAATTACAGATACAACCCTCTCTGGGCCACAGAATAGTTCAAAATATTTTTTTTTTTAGTAATACTTGTCTGTTTTGTTGCCTCTTGAAACAGTAGCCTTCAGTTTTACATATTAACCTCACCAATAACCCATTTACCCAATGCCATTATGAATAACATGGTTATAAGCGTCAGTCCCCTTTCTCATGGAGCAGTTTTTGTCTGCAGACAAGGTGGGAAGCAGCTTTCCCTCAACAGTTTTTGCATTTTAGGTGATACTACCCGCCACTAAGAGACCCAAGTGCTTCACTTCATCTTGGGCTGCTGATTAGCAGAGAGAGGCACATCCTGCGGCCAGAGACCAACAGGACAAACGTAGTGGCAGCTGTGTGTGAGTTCAGCTGGCAAAGGCTGGAGGGGTGATGCTAGGTGTGCCAATGCATAGCAAAGAGGTAGGGAAGGGGTCAGGCTTTGCTTTCTTAGTCAGTACACCTGCAACACACATTAGCCTAAAAGCAGAACCAAACCTTTCAGGTCAGTCCTTTTCATGAAGGCTCCACAGAGAATGATAATCAATTCCTCCATTGTTGTTTTTACTTCTAGGTCCAGAATTTCTGCCTTTTGACAATGATTTTCAGCTGTTTCTAGCTGAAGGCACAGAGCAGAATGATGGGCAGCAAATATTTCTGCAGATGGAATTCTTTCAAAAAGATTGGAAATAAAAGAGCAAAGTCTAAACTCTGCTATTAATTGGGGCTGAAAAATGTATGTAGCATCAAACCACAAGAGCAGTGATGGGCAGGGACCAGGTGGAGTCTATTAGTGAGCAAGGAAGAGAAGGAATCTTTCTTCTTCCTAATAGCTGCCAAGAAACATGCTTGTTTCAGCTTTTGCATGAAATGACAGATGGTGGCTTTGAAGCCCAAATCTCTTTGGTTTTATTCCTTCTCCTTTTGGGACATGGGTGCTGTGGATGTTCATTACTCATATTGGAAACATTTGCCACAGGAAGCTCCTGGAACAGACTTTGGAAAGCTATGAAAGCCCTAATGTCAGCCCAAAACATCAGGGCTGTCCCAGCACTTGCTGAATCAAATTATCAAGTGCCAATATAAATTAATGTTTGTCATCCCAAATTTTACAAAATCCAGGGTTTTCAAACCCCCTTCCTACCAAGAATGTCTTATCTATTGAAAAGTGTATCCCATTTTGGTGGCAGCAGCTTCTGCAGAATCTGCAACTGTGTTTTCTGAAGTCTTGCTTCACTCTTCTGTAAATTCTCTTCCACCTCTGTTTCCCTGGTGAAATAACCAGAATATTTGCATTTTTTAAAAAATCAGGGTTTTTCAGTAATCATAAAGCATAGGCTAATCAGCTTCTTCTGCAAGACAATTTAGTTAATTAATATTTATATACTGCAGCAAGGCTCAAGAGCTAATCTATGAAGTGTTATTTAATAATTCTGAATATCTGCCTTGGGAATCCGAGATTGAAATTCACTGCAATTGAATTAAGTTTCAATTAAAGGTTCCTGCCATTAAATCTTTAACATAGGAGCAATAAACACAACAAAAGCATGAAGCAAGAAGATGCAATTCTGCCTGGCAAGCCTGTGGGCCGAGATAATCAGGATAACCACCTCTGTTCCTGGCAGTGAGTGTCACTGAGACAACTGTGTCATGTTTATCCTTGGGGGCAAGCACAGGATCTGAGGTTTCTGCTCCTATTGCCATACTTGGCTGGTGCAGAATGAGAAGGGAAGACCAGCCCTTGGCTGCCTCCAGTTGGCTGGAGCTCTGTCCCAGACCCCTGGTGTCTCTGGGGGGAGTGCTGCTGTCTGCTGTTGAGTAGGAAATTACCATGGCAAGTGTCAGGGTACCAGCCAACGCTGACACTCTTTGTGCTTGTGGCACCAGCAAACAGCCCCCAGCTGCAAAGGGCTCACCCCTCTCACTCCTCTCCAGCCAGGGTCTCTCCTGTGGCATGCCCTGTCCTGCTGTCTCCCAGAGAAGGAAGCAGAATATGGAACAGAGAATCCTTTCTTGCCATCATTCAAGCACTTTTATCGCTCAGCAGCCATCACATTGCAGGACTGGGGATCTGCTTGGATCTACAAGGAGCTACTTGCTTTTGGGGAGGTTGGGTGTGCTTGTGGATGTGTGTACAGAACTGCATCCTGCAGTTATGGCTTTCCAGAGAATACTAGTGGGTGGTTCAAAAAGTAAAATAAGGATATTATTATTATACACATATAATTTGATTCTTTTAGTCTGAAATAAGGCCCCGGTAAATTTATATTTACTTGGCAGTGAAAACATAAAACTTGGTTTGGCAATTACATTTAGGAAAACATGAGGAACTCAAGGGAGAAAATATTACTTGGCCAAGCATGTTGAACTAATGCTGAGAAATGGGGCTCTGTGAATCTGAATTCAGCCCAGTTTTTTAAAGCTACTTACCCGGTCTCCTTCCACTGTTGGCCAACTGACAGAAATTCAATATTTTTCTTCTAGTGAATGAAAAGCATAGTCAGAAACAGCCATTGGGTCAGGTTCATATGCAAAAGCTCCTCTTGTGCTTTTGTTTCCTAATTGCTTTTGGAAGGGTTTTTCGGACTGGGCTGACGCAGTTTTGTGTGTGAATTTCCTGGCAAATAAGAAAGGTGACTGTGTCCAAAAGACATTTAAGAGTGTGAATTCACAGCCTTTCCATGTCTAATCAAGAAGCGTAAACCATTAGCCACATGTTCCCCATTTCCATCACATTTTTTCACACTTAAACAAAAACATGCCAAAGGAAAGGTGCTACATTTTTTAATGCCCCCAAATAGGAACCACAGGAGTCCATTAAATGCTGTGGTCATTTCCAGCATACAAATCAATTTTCCTTGTGGTGGTGAAGTGGTGAATAATGCCTGGTTTGTTTAAAGGAGCATGACTGATTTTGGATGAAGGATCCTGTCACTTTGGCATTTTTAGTTTTATTTATTGCATGCAAGCGTATAAAACCTGGTACTGGTCTCAGTGCCAGGCTTACTAGTGGAAAAGCTGAAAGGACCACATAACGTCTGGTGCAGCAAAGAAGTTCTCCTTCTGCAAGGCATTTGCTGGACTCCTGAAAAATTGTTTTGATTAACATGGCAGAGAAGGATTTCATCAGTTGGCATCTACTGGCTTTATTTTTTCTTCCATTTTGCCTGTGTCAAGATGAATACATGGAGGTGAGCAGAAGATCTTATAAACCAGTGGCCAAAATATTGCAGAGTCACCACCAGACTGGCCACAAAGGTTCCAGAAGCAGGGAAATATTGAAACAGCGGAATCAACTTATAGAATGGACTGTTGATAATAGCACATCTACAGACCATAATGTCCTGAGACCAGAGGTAGATGATGTAGAACTGACTACCTCAGATAGAGTCCAGGTACTCTGAATTAATCTTCTAAAGATATCTTTAAAGCTAATGAGATTATTTTTTTTTTTTGCTAACATTACTAGTGATATATTTATGAAATAATTTTTATTAAGCTGTGTGTTGGTCTGTATCCTGCTGGGCTGCTTTATAGGATCTTTTAATGAGCTGGTAGAACCAGCAGTGGTTGGGGACACTGGTTTCAACACAGGCAGCAGCACTTTGTTCTATTGAAACTGTGAACTTGTGAAATCATATATGCTGAAATACAGTCTCTTAATTATCCCAAGGTATGAATTATTTAATATATCAAAGTTTTTAGATATTTATAACTCATTTAGATGTGAAGGAAAATACAGCATTTCTAGAGGTATTTGCAGAGATTCAATTAGCAGAGAATAATTTTACTTTAAAATTATGTATGTAAAGTATATTTCTTGAGCTTGAAACAAAAATAATGAAATTCTCAATGTTCAAAAATTTTATTCTAAGGAGTAGCTTGAAAAAAACCAGATACTATTGTAATAAGTAGATTTAATAATATAAATCAACTGACAGTTTAAGAAGAAAAAAGGCTTGCAATGAAATTCTAATTTGTCTGCAGCATCTGCATTTTAAACTGAGAATATTTTTCTGCCTTTCATGGCACTTTACATACCACAGTCATTAGTTTATAACACAGGGAAAATAGCATAACTTGATAATACACAAAATATTGCAGTCCAAATTTGAAAGAAAAAAATCTGAAGGGCAGAAGATGAAGCTTTTTCTAGCACTAGGCAAAACAAAATTCCACTCAAATGAAGGGCTTTTTTGATCAATGTGTTTTATTAACAGCAAGAACATGAGTGGTTTTTCCTATAGCTGATACAAATATTTGAGTCCTGTATAGTTCATCTTTTACCCTCTGAGGTTTTAAAACTTCTTCTGATCAAAATATGATATTTTGAATTGCCAAAATCAAGAACATGCAGATAAGTGTTGAATAATAATATATATTATGATAATAATATTATAAGCAGAGAAGAGGTCTGATTTTAATCCTGTCCTGGGCTTGAAGAACTGAAACACATCCAAGTATGGGAATAGGTTTAATACACCATTGTATTCCCTGTATTAAAACTTCACAGAGCTTTGCATTTTGTATTTCTTGGGCAGCAGTGAAATGTTTCTCCAGTGCACTCAGCAGAACAGATATTTAACTGTAGGCATGTTAAACTGTGCTTGCAGAATATAAGCAGTGTAAAACATAATGTGTACAGTCCAAAGAGCCAAGACAGCATCTGCAGACCTCTCTACTGCAGGGAGAATTCTGGAATTCTGCAGCTGTGTGCTGCAGACCGTGTACACAAGATTCCCCTTTAACACTACACAGTTTCAGATAATACAGGATTTCATGCAAAACCACAGCTTTTTAGGGCACAAACTCTCCCCCACAGAAAGTGTGTTCAGGCTGCATGTATCTCTTGTCAGAGCATTTAAGGCAACTTGTCTGGAGCTGCCTGCTGGGGAACTGGTTGTGACAATAAAAACAAGCCCGGTGATCTGAGTACAGCTGATGGCAGTCATTTACCTGCCAGCCCATCTCCAAGAAGCAATCTTTTCTGGGGAAATGATGCAATTTTTGGCTTACTGAAATGAAATGGAGCACTAGCAGATGCACGACGGGGATAATCAGTCACACAGTGTCTTACACAATATGTGTTTTCCCCTTCCAGACTCCAGGAATTTCTAGGCAGAGGAAGAACAAAGGTGGCACTGACATGTTTTAATTCATGTCAAATCTCTCTCTTTCCCTTGAGTTGTATGGAAACTATTAAATTCCGGCTTTCCTGATTGTTTTAGGTGGAATAGCTCTACCCAGCTAAAGAAAATTTAGGCTGGGGAATTTCTCCCTCTTGCTGAAGTGTTTCGAAGGCCTCATTCCCTGCTATGGAAAAGAGATGACAGTATTTGTTGTTACTATTGTCCTTGCTGCACTGGGTGCTTCGCCAGCTTCCACACACTACTGTTAACTCATGTAAAATATAACATGCATTTCTCAAGAGCAAGAACTCTTAGTGACTAAGAGTCATGACAGACCATTTTTCCATTTCAGGTTGCTCTTTGAACATCTTTAATGTCACCAGCCAAGCAGTGTTTTACCCTGAATTTTGGCAACTTTTGTTTGTTTCTTTGCTTGGAGAAGGGGCATGGAGGGCCTAAGTGCCCACAGAGACAGATATTTTGCACTCAGAACAGGAGCCAAGAATGTTGGAGGCACATCACTTGTCTTCTGCATTGTCTTAGACAATAAAACAGAAATTCATAAAATTAATCAGGAAGTCAAAAAGGGTCAAAGGCTGGGTCTCCAATTATAACTTGTTCACAGTTTTAAATTAAGGGAATTTCATAGACCATCTGTTGCCTAGATCATTCTCCTATATACTAAATCATGGGAAATTCAGTAGATAGCCTCAGAAATAGTTCCAGTTTTCTATCAGTGTTAGGATATCAATGTGGCAGATGCATTTCACAAGCTCCTAAATCATATTCATGTTCTGGCAGAAAAGCCAAAGATTCACTGACAAAATTTATGCACAAATGGCTGCAAAGAATGCCTTTGGCAAGTAGATTGCAACTAATCTCTGTGTCACATTTGAGTGTAATTTTACTTTAGGAACATGTTTTTTCCTTTAAATGTACTCTTCATGAAGTTCTCTTCTTTTAAAGATTAGAAGAAAATCCTAAATATTCCTCATCCTTGGCAACTGACCATGAATAATTTTTTTCTCCTAGTGAAAGAGTAAAGATAATAATTTTTTTGCTTTATGACCTGCATAAACAGCTATTTTTAAATCAACGGAACTGTTGCATACAATCTGACTGGCAGGACTTGCCTTATTTCACACCTAACAAGCTGATGAGATTTTTTTTTAGGTAATGCCTACTAGCACTTGGTTATCACCATCACTTGTATCTATTTTATTTTAAAATAGCCATTTCTCTAACACAATTGTTCAAGATTTCAGTACATTGTCTGAAAAAGACAAATTGCATCTGCACAGAGAGAGTCTCACATGCAGTCCACTTTGCTGGATTCATGTCTTCCCTCAATTACAATCTGTTCTAAATCTTTGGATTTTTTTAGGCTGATAAGACTTATTTGCTCTTGGCAGGTATGTATTTAGTTCACCTTCCCATTTAACATGAATATGAAGCACTATCTAAACAAAAAACCTGAAGATTTTAATCTCAATGCTAAAATCAATGTTATTCTTTTAGGGGGCAAAACATGCTCACACAATTCCAGTCCTCTTGTACTTGGCCCCCTTTCAAGGACTGAAAATGGGCTGGAAGCAGAGCTACTTCTTCTCTCATACCAGGAATGTTATAAAAAGTGCATTTGGTGATTGTCAGTTATGTCCTGCCTAACAACTGGAAGAGACAAAATAGCCAGAAAAATACAAACAGGTTCTCCAGGAAGAAAGAGGTCAAGAGGCAGAACCTATTTTTCTCATTAAGTATAGGCCTTGTCCAAAATTAATCTAAAAAAGCATAGCCTTGACCAAACCCCATAAATATGAAGCCCTTCTGCCCATTGGCAAGTCCTGACTTTTCCATAACTCTTTGAATATGAAGGGTATTTGTTTAGCTGTCAAGTTGGCCTTTATTCCCATGGTAACTCCACCATCACTGGTTCCAGCTGGACAGGACATTTGTCTGTCTCGTTGGAGGAGCTGCAGTATTTTTGTGGTGTCACGAGATGAATTTTCTATATCCCTAAGTTCCTAAGCCTCCTGAAATCAATGAATTCCAGGGGTGTTCTTGGTATTGTACAAAAAACAGGCAGAATGTTTCAGATGACATCAATGATGACACTGAGGGCAGGAATACAGCACATCTGTGTGTTCAGTTGACAGCTCCCATCCTGACAGAGGCTCATTTTCTGCCACACTAAACCAATAAGTCTGCATTGGGAAAGTAATTTGACGATGATAAAGATTAGGGAAAAGAAAGGGAAGGAAGGCAAATAATAGAATGATTAAAGAAAAGTAGTAGTTGGATTGGTGTAACTATCCATCTCAATTTTACAAACTGCAGGTTTGCATCTCAGAATATTAGGAAAGAATTGTAGGGAAAAGAAACAAATAGGGAACAAATGAGGAGCTAGAGAAATAAAATCAAACATTGAACCTTGGCCTTATCTGACATACTGGAAGATCTGTGATAACTAAGTTATATAATTCAGTCAGAATTGAATGAGTCTCCATTAGTATAAACACAATAATATGGAAAAGAAAACCACTTATACAAAACCATTATTAAACTGATTACTATAGTAACTGAGCTGTACATAATGAACTCATTACTTTATTTATGTTGCTGTATTAGTCAGCATACAGGTTTTCATAGTTGCACATTCACCACTACTAATGATCAAAAACCCCTAACATCTTGTGTTGTGGTAAGTTAAATTTTTGTCTTGTGTCTCGGCACTTTTTTAGGGTCTCCTTACTTTAGTAGCCTGTAAATACACAGGTCTGGGATCATGAAGAGGAATATGCTGCACAGATATTTTTTTAGTATCTTCTTTGGGTGGTCCAATACAGTTTTATCTATGTTTAATGGAGATTAGTTCACTGCTGAAGGTCAAATCAAGTCCCTTGTGTCCTACCACTTGTTGTACATAGGCATGTTTGTCATCAAAGGTCAGTTGAAATGTGGGATCAGGATGTGAATCTAACTGAAATACTCATCTAAATTTCATTAGTTGGTGTTAATTTATTTTAAAAACCTTCATTATTTAACAGGACAAGTTGGTTTTTAAAATATTTGTTATAGATTTTTGAATGCTTCGAGAGCTATTCCTTTAAATCTTCCAAAAATAATATCTTCAGGGATAACCTAACTGTGTGAGAATTTCATGCCAGATAAGAACTGTTTTGAAAACTTACCAAGTATATAAACAGAAATATATAATGAAGACCCTGTAACCAACATGCATAAGATTGATGTCCTCCATGAATGAGCTACTTACAGCTTATTTTTGTGCACTTAGCCCCCCCAGCCTGGACCGCAGAATCCAGACTGCAGCTCCTGCTGCCGAGGTGACTTTGGAGTTCGACTCTACCAAGGGCCCCCAGGACCTCCTGGGCCCCCTGGGATGCCAGGTAAAGATGAAGTTTAATTCACTTTTTTTATCAGTCTAATTGCAGGCCATAAATTACAGGTTATTCTATGAAATATCAGAGCGTGGTCCAAACATCAGTATTTGGGGACAGATTCAGGAACAAGTTTTTCTATAATTTCAGAGGAGACAGATATTTTCAGTTATATTCTAAGGTATTTTCCATTGAAAACCTATTTGTTATTAAAATTCAGCTTTCACAAATTCATACTGAAAGTAATCTTATTACATATCAAGGGAAAATTGGTCTCTCTTAAAACAGCATGAAGTTCCCAATAAACTTGGAAGAATTTGTTCCCTGGAGCTGATTATTGTGATCACCTTTGTATATCCAGCTGTGTTACTGTGTACGTATTCAAGGGCTATTCTTCATCTAGCATACTGCTAGCCAATATTTTACAGAAACACAATGCTTCTGTTCTCTCACAGAAATTTCTTCACTTTCTTCTTTCATCTTGTCTTTCACAACAAAAAATCCCCTTTTTTAACATAAAAAATTTCCACAGAAGAACAGCATACACAAGAAAAGTATATACTTTGATCAGATAATTGATATGGAAATAGAAGAGCCTAGAGAAGGGAAAATGTTGGTTGCATGCTGGTGTGAGTTTTTTATATCATCTACCTTCAGGGATTTGTAAATCACCATTCCTAAAGCAAAAGTACAACAAAAACGAACAGGTCACTGAAAGACAGACTTCTGTCTTCTTGAAAAACTTACATCTTCTGTTCACACAATAAAAATGCAATTCAGTAATCCATTATTTATCAATAAATTGTTGGATTCTTAGAAGCCAGAATACGATTTTTTACTAGAGCCACATTTTCAAGGCTGCAGTGGACACACTGGGGCATGGCCCAGTCCCAGCGTTGCCCTTCCCTCCTGACTCAGTCCCACTGTCTGTCACTGCAGGATACCACAAACCTGCATCCTGGGATTTCTGTCTCCTTCATTTGCTGAATTTCATGTTGTTGTGCCTGTAAGGGGAACAGCAGCAGTTGCTTTTCCCCTTGATTGAATCAAATGTTGCTTGCAGACTTCTGTTATGAACTGGTTGAGCAGCTCTGGCTTCACATAAAGGGTCATTCTTGTTATTTTTAAGAGCTGCAGATTCCTCTATCCAAACAAAAATGTGCATAATTTCGTTCAGCACTTGGCTTCCTTGTTTGAAGGTTTTGGGTTTTTTTCTTATTAGAAAAACTCTGAAGGATTACTTCATCATCAGATTTGATCTCAAACAACACTATTCTTCTTGTAATTTTGTAACCAGAGAGAATAATCAAAGAACAAGCAGAGTGGCAAGGAGCCTAATTTCAATTCAGGTTGAATTAGAACAATGATGACATTAATTAATCCCCTGAGCTGAAATATCAGGCTTTTGCTGCAGAATAATGATTGCTTGGTGATTCTAGCCAACTTTAAAATCCTGTCAGCTGCATAGACATTTGCTTAGTAATTTAGTCAGTCAACACCAGGAAGTAAGTAATACTGCAGATGCATGAGTATGTTTTGCACTTAGTCTTTTTACTCATTTACTCATAGGAAGCCATCTCAAAAAAGCTTAATTATAAAAATTTTGTATCTCTTTAAATCTAGGGCTATGCAATCACATGACCCCTAGCCAGGACCCTGCAAATACACATTGTTCTGTTTTTAGCACAGATTTTAACAACTTTAATGCTACAGCCATTTATCATTTATGTGTATGTGTTTTAAAGACAGCAAAATCTTATTCAAAATTATCTTATCCTATCATGATTGACTTAATTTACCAGGAAATCAGTTTTTACTAAAGCAAAAGCAAAACTACTTCTGCAGGCTACCTAGTGTGCATCAATAGAAAGTGGCTTTTGCTTTCCTTGAGCCTTCTGTCTGCTGAGGTCTTCCTGCACATCTCCCCAACAAAGCAATGACTTGAGACACCACCAGCAACATGAGGGTTAACTCCCAAAATCTATGTCCTTCTGGAAATCTGCTCACCAAAACTTTTACCATCAACCTGACCACAGAGCAGTTTCTTATCTCTTTCCTCTCAGCCTGGATTTATGGCACTGAAGAGTACCTGCGTTGCAAGCTGATAGAAGAGGACCCTGTCACACTTATTTGTTAAAATATGATAAATTATTTAAATAAAACAGAAAGCTTTGTTTCCCTTCAGGAAATCATGGAAACAATGGAAATAATGGAGCAACTGGCCAGGAAGGAGCCAAAGGTGAGAAAGGAGACAAGGGAGATATTGGACCAAGAGGAGAGCGTGGCCATCATGGACCCAAAGGCGAGAAGGGCTATCCTGGCATTCCCCCAGAGCTACAGGTACAGCATCTCTGGCTCGTATTGGCTGCAGGAAACCTCAGATTATGGTTTTCTTGAAAAAACAGCACCTTATTACTGTAAGATACTTAAGAAGCAAATCCCCTTGTAAATTAATACTCTAACAGGCATATACAGCCCTTGCCCTTACTGAAAAAAGTGCTCTGCCAGGTCTTTCTGGAAAAGAAAAGCTTTAGTCAGAATCCAGCTGAGAAATAGGCAGGAAGAAACATATATGCTTCCCCTTGAAGGCAAAAAGCCAGGATCTGGGTTATTAAAAGAGAATAGCAGGGACTATCATTTTCCTACCAAGCTGTATCACATAAATAATTGCACTTCCCACAGCATATGGAAAGAGTAAAGGAGTCATGTTTCTCAGTGCAGCCAGGCTTTATGAGATTCTCAGAAGCACATGTATCCAGCTCCTCAAAGTACAGGCTCAAAATTTTTGAGTGCAGTAAGAGTCCTCTAGTTTCAAAAGATACCCCTCAGTAGTTATCTGTACATTTATATGTCTAGATGTTTTAAATATGTTTGGGGCGATGTAGGTTCTGCCTATGAATGAATAACTCGAAAGCCAGATAAGCATTTAAATATGGGTTCAAGCCTGAGCTGTTGAACGCAACTCTTATATTGGCACAATCTCACAGCTTTTTGTTTAAAGCTTCTTCAAATCCCAGGAATCTGGCAGATGGCAGAGAGTTTGCGTATGGATATATAAATATATATGTATGTGTGTGTATATATATATATATATAATATATATATACACACAGAATCATATATACATATTCATATGTGTGCATGTACACATGACATATGCATGCATAAATATATATAATATATGTTCACAGTATAGCTGAATATCTTATAAACATGCCTTTAATTACATTCAACATATGTCCTCCTACAATTTTAAAATGAACTACCACAGGTTTTTATCTTACATAAAGACAATGGTAGTATTGTGATTAAAATTGAGTGATGAAAGAGGATGAACAAGGAAAGCTCATATTGCAATACTTATTTCAAATACTTAAAATTCTTTCTTTTATCAGATATGTTTTAAAATGTTTACAGTATTTCCTACCACCACATTTAAGAATTTTAAAGTCACTGGTGGTATAGGAGAAAACACTTTTGAATACAATACTGTTTTAAGTACAGGATTATTTTGAAAAACTTTGTGTATCCGTGTTAACCTGCTACTTCATAATGTGACCTAGGGAGAAAAGATATATTTTTCTGCTGTTCTGTTCAGGCCACAAAAAGTAGCTCAGGGTCAAAGAGACTGTGAAATGGAATCTAGACAAAAAGCAATAAATTCCATCAATCTGCCACTGCAGCTGCTTTCCTTTAACACACGATGAACTTTGATGTGATCCTGGCTGAGAAGCAAGATATTAACAATTTGCCGTAATAGAAAATGCATCCATGCAGGGGTAAGGAAAATCAGCCCAAGCTTTCAGCTCACATCTGGAGCTCCTTAAATTTCTGAACAGATGGCTAACGATTTCCGTTGTTGGATCCAGACTTGCATTTGATTGTCTGTTTTAGTTTTTTTCTGGTTTGGATCTGAAATCAAAAGGAGTTTGGGCTGGGGTTTTTTATTTTTTAAATACCAGCATAACTGGAATCTCACAAAAAATGCCATTTTTATGATGGGCAGTAACAGATGCAATTGAATACTTGTCATTTAAGAAGTTGAGATAGAAATAAAAAGCCAAGCCTGTATGTAACCTTTTGGCAACAAAGTGCAGCAATTTTGATTCTACCCCATTTACTCACATAATGGTGGGGGGATGACAGACTTACAGAAAAGGTCACTCCCTTCCCTAACCAGGCCATCTGGCAGGGTCATTCCCTGGTATCTTGCTGAGGGTAATTTAAATTGTCGGGTGTGGGATGTTTTGCACTGCTTCCTATGAAACATTTCTATGGCAAGAAGTGAAACATAAAGTTGAAGCATAGTTTTAATTTTCTTATTTTCCCCTCCTGGTCTCCACCACCCTCTGTTTTCAAAACTGAGGGCAACTGACAAGACAGAAAAAGCATTGAATATTGAGTGCCAGCTGCTGTACTTCTAGAAGACCTCTAGTAAAAGTGCTTCATGTATCTCTAAGCAAGAAACACTAATCTGCATGAATTTTACTGAGCATTGTTTGTTTTCACACATGCAGTTAAAAGCAATATCCAGTTTAAATGCATTGGGGAATACATAAAACTATATAAAACTTTTTTGTCAGAAACACCATCCATTTCAATACTATATTGCTGTTGCATCATTCTAGTGAGACTTAAAAGTAAATAAAATCTGAAATTAAGGTTCTGCACACACTTGACCATACACTTACTTTACAGTCATGAATAGTCCAATTGAATATGAGAACCCTAGTCTTCTTCCAGTTTCATTCAATGGGAGTTTTGTTAACTGGAGTTTATTGGCCTTGGAGCAAGCCCTAGAAGAACATCTCTGTCAGGAAAATAAACAGACTGCAAATACAGGAAAAAATCTGTACCTGGTTGCTCTACACATGTGTTGTTCGTGAACGACTGCCTCAATAAGAACTGGATTTTTGCAGGTCGCGTTTATGGCTTCGATGGCTACTCACTTCAGCAACCAGAACAGTGGGATCATCTTCAGTAGCGTTGAAACCAATGTTGGGAATTTTTTTGATGTCATGACTGGGAGATTTGGTGCTCCAGTGAATGGTGAGCATTTGCAAAACAAAATAATGTAATTGTTGGAGCTGTAGGGAGACATGTGGTCAAAAAGGATGAGGCACTATTTAACTACCTTTGCACTCAGTCTGCATAGCTCCTGCTACCTACTTTCCAGAAAAATGAATTGAAAACTGAGCAAGCCAAAAGAGGTCTTGCCAGCCAGTGAGACTAGTGCTGACACAAAGGCAGGAGGAAGAGGCATGGCCGGGGCTGGGGAGGGAGCAGGACTGTCTGCTTTGCTGTGGCTCTTTAGCCCTTCAGCCACTGTGATGACAGAACCACAGTCTTAATGTTGTAGCAAGCAGCAGCAGCTTCACAGTTGCCTCTTCCACCTCCTGCCTCCTGTCAGTCTCCTCATCCTCATCCTCCCCCATGCCAATTCAGCTGCGAGCTGACCTGCAACAGATGTGTGACTGGAAAAGAGGCATTACAGTTCTTCATGGGTTATTTCTCAGCTGCATCAATCCCCCCTCTTACGCAGCTGTGATGGAGGAAGAACAACACCTGCCATATGCAGAATTAAAATTAATCAGATTTTGGAACGCTATAAGCAGAAACAAAATATCTGCTGACAACTGGAAGGCAGTTCTGTCCACAGCTGTTACGATTTCTAAGCAAGAAGCACAAATGTGCAGCATGATTACTTCTTTCTATGAAGAAAACAAGTTGTTTTTTATAACCTTTTCAGGGGTATATTTCTTTACTTTCAATATGATGAAACATGAAGATGTGGAGGAAGTGTACGTGTACTTGATGCATAATGGTAATACAGTGTTCAGCTTATATAGGTAAGTAAAGGGCCAGGCCATCTCAATGCAAAAAACATTTGTATGGTTGTGATAGCTTGCTCACCTTTCAAGAAACGTAAAATTGTTAATTTTTTGGAAAAAATTCTCTACGGTAAAATAACCAACAAGAAAACCTATTTTTTTTTGCCATCCTCAGCTTGCATATTTGGAGCATACACACCAAAGATGCTGGACCTAAAATTCAGCTTTGATCACCATTTCCTCAAAGTCAGGAGAAAAGAGTTAGCAGTGCAAGTCAGGGCTGGAGTTCAGTGGTATCATGCTGTCATTCTGCTAAAGTGTATCTTTATCCTCATTTTGCTTGTCAGAGAAAAGAAATAATGAAGTGTTCAGTGACCAGTTACAGTCTTGTTAACATGAGGGCAGAAAAAATTATTTTAAGTTGGAAAGTGTTTAAGCTGCAGTAGTAAGGATGAGTAAGAAGCAAAGGACTTCCATTTACTATCCTTTTTATCATTAGCACACCATCACAGGCTGCTTCATCCCCAATAGATCTTCGCTGCAAAAGAAAAAGTGCTTCATTTCTATTCCCCCTGAAGCACTGATGTCAGAAAAGGCAAGAGGTAGAAGAAAGGGGACCAACACTCAGGCAAAGCCAGGAGGTTAGCCCACATCAATGTTCCGATGAAAGGCTCAATATGGAGCAAGATGCCTGTGTCTGCTCACTGCCTGTGCTGGGAGCACAGGGACTCAGCTCTTAAAATTAGTTGGAATGAATTCAAGGGGAAAAAAAATCACAGGAAATCTGTAGTGTTGTGATCAATGAGCAGCATTTCATTTTAAACAAAAAAAAATCGTTCTGTGTCCTGGAAAAAAAAAAAAGTTACAATTCCAGAACTTCAGAAAGGAATGAAATAATGCATTTAGGTAAGTGCAAAATTTGACTAGGAGATCAAATGCAGAAAGTTGCCAAAATTTCCTTATAAAGCTGAAAAAATGTTGGCAAGCCTTTCAAGAAATTTTTGCTCAGGATAGCAACGTACTTCTTGGATTTTTTGGTAAAATTGTTTGTTTGGTCATGGTTGAGAAACAAAAAAACTGACTTGTTAAAATATTCATCCTTAGCTATGAATCCAAAGGGAAAGCAGATACTTCAGGAAACAGTGCAGTCCTAAAACTCGCCAAAGGAGATGAAGTTTGGCTGCGAATGGGAAATGGAGCCCTCCATGGGGACCATCAACGCTTCTCCACCTTTGCTGGGTTTCTCCTTTTTGAAACCAAGTAAAAAAAGGAAACAACCCAACAGATGTTTATGTGAAAAAACATATTTTTTGGAACTTGTATATTTCACTGGACTGTGAAATAACTTTACAACATTGGAGGATCAAGAAGCCTTGTTTTGATGCAATGTGTTGCTACCTGTGTATCAGAGATGAGCTGAATACATTGGACAGCTGACACAGATTCACAGAGTATCTATTGTCATCTGGGTTGCACCTATTTAATCATTAAATGTTGCTATTGCTCTTGTCCCCAAAAGTGAATGAAAACCAAAGGAAAATGAGTCCAAAGAATTTAAAGAGCAGTTTACATAAAGTCAATCTCATCTCTAAATATACTTTAGTTAAATATATGTCAAGAATTGAATAACTGATTTAAAATTTTTGGATCATTTATTCAGTTCTTCTTACATGTTCATTTAAATTTGCATCATGGAAACAGGCCTGAATGTATTATAAGCAGGCTCAGGTGAGACCAGATCTAAAGGGAGAAGTTTGTACTGGATTGGAATGAGCTCAAATCAAAGAAAATAATGTGAAAATATAGATGTCAAGGATTCAGGTTTATTGCATTCCCATCTCAAACTTCTGAACATGTATCTGGTGTCATTTTTCACAGATTTTTAGCACATATTTATGCTTAGTCTCTCTCTCTTAGAAGAAGAATGTCAGTAGTTCTTGCCTTAGTAGCAGCTTGAAGCTAAGGTAATTTAGTTTGCAGTGTGAAGGGGATCAGGCAGGGGAACTGTAATATTTCTCCTAGCCTTAGAATTTTTAAAACCTGATGTACGCCAATACAGGGTGTCAAAGAAAAGGCATATACGCTAGAGAAATCAGGATAGGCCAACAGCACAGAGACAAACAAACATTGTGGTGTTTCGAGCTCCTCCTGAAGGACGTACCTTAAAATATTGCATATTTACTTAACAGTGAAGTTGTTGAAACAGTTTTCCTAGCAGCCTTCCAAGAATCAGTATTTCAGGAAAAGCCACTGCAAAGCAGCAGCTAAGCCAGTTCAGTATTTAAACTGGTGAAAGCAAATGTTAGCTGGCTTAGTAGTTCTGGTCCCAATACACTGGTCACTCTTCAGCATTCTTGTCACTGGCTTTTCAAAATTTGGGTACCTGAAATTCTGTCTTGCTATTTTCATTTCAGTAAGCACCAAAATCAATACTGAAGTTTGAATGTATCTTGTTCTGGCTCTCCATACAAAAGTTAATGAAATATAAATTCCTTTTTATAGACATTACATTTTAATCAGGTATGATCTGCCATTGATGTATAACAAGAAGGTGGGGTTAGGAAAATATTTATTTGAAATTCTTTTATACTGGATACAGGAATCAGTAGCACAACAATACAGCAAATGAATTGAAATCTGCCCCATGAATTCGTACACATTCCTAGCGTATGTAACCACATCTTATGAAGAAAAATGCATGTTGATACTTGATTATTATAACATGTGATTTTTTAGTTTAATGCATCAACCACTGAAAATATTAGCTTTAATGAACTGTTGTCTGATGTGTTTTAATCACTTCTTTATCATCTTGGGTCAGGTCTTGCCACATAGGTTTTCAAAACCTGAGACCATGTTATTTTGTTAAGCTTACTTTGTAAAACATACATTTATCCAATAAAGATTAATGGTTACAAAGCTGTACTAGTTTGCTGATAAAATCTGTATTTACCAAGGACATTACCATTTGTAGACAACAGCAAGATGTTCTTTTAAATATGTTTTTCCTAAGCATTTATTTTGCTACTGAATGGGAGAAAGCCACCATTAAGGATTAAAATATATTTCCTTTACACATGTGTATATACACACACACATATGTATATAAAATTTAAATCTGTATGGTTTCCTTTGGAGACTTACTCTTCCTTTGTGACATGGTCATTTTAAGCCATTTTGGTCAGAAGGAAGCACTTAGAAACTGTATGACATACACTCATTTTAAACTCCTTTTTATCTTATTATCTACTGTAATGGCCATAATATAAAAGAAAATAATGGTTTGCCTTACCATTTTCTATTTTCATGAGTTTTGTGCAACTTGGCCTGCTAAGAGGGCAAGGTGACTAAGGATTACCACAAAAGCTTCTCTGACAAAGAGCAGTTCCAATGTTACAGCTCAACAGTTTTTTACATCAAGGTTAAAATTCCTAGGTTGTGACTGAAATCCCAGCAGCCTTTTCTCTGCAATTTACTGCATGCAATCTCTGCTGATTAAGTGTCATAATAATTTACAAATAGTTAACTTATGAATTTCCTTCAAATGAAGAAGGAAGATCCTTAAAAATACAGCAACTGATGTGAATATGAGTGTGTGTGCATGTGTGTGTGTGTCTCTCTGTGCGTGTGTTCTTCTTCTTCTTCTTCTTTAAAATTAACACACTTTATATTCAGTAAGTCATATGGAATATATGATCTTTTTTCTCAGAAATGTTAATGCAGATTAGTCATCTTTCCATTGCTGCTGATAATCGAAAGATTCTTGCTTAGCAGATGCTCAAGGCAAAATGCCTTCTACCAGAGACTTTTATCCCCTGTTATAAAATACATGATGTCTTGTAATTTGTGTTACAACTTAAAAACCTTCTGGAAACTGCAAAGCTGTAATTTAGAGTATACTAAATGGCTTCATGTCTTTGCTAAAATGAATTTGTATCTCTCCCCTGCCCTTGAGCTCCTAGATTTAACCAAAACTTGGCAAGACCCACAAGTCCCTGCCTGCCATGAGAGCTGTGGTTTGGTAGGTGATATTTGACCTCTGTGGTAGGTGCTGGCATCCTGGCGGCAGAAAATGCTTCTCAACACAGAGCCAAGTGGAGTTCTGCTCTGTGTGAAACACCACCCCAAATCCTTCTCCTCTCTTCCCCCAGACTTCCAGGGACTGGAACAAGGATGTCACAGGCTGTCCTTGCCTGTGAATCCTTGCAAGCCAGCAGCTCTCATCTCCAGTTCAGTCATGAGCATTAATTGCTGCACTTTGCAAAACAGGGCTGTGTTCAACTCAAGAGGCGCTGGGTGAAACCCCCTGGCAGGGGTAAAACAACTTCTGCAAGATGAACATGAACTAGAACGAAACCAAACAGGAGAAAAATGTTACAGGTCTGAGTCCAAGTTTCACTAATGGTGTTTAAAAAAGAAGTTTAATTGGAACTCTGTGACAAAAGAAAGTATGGTTTTTACTTTCAGAAGTTAGTCTGTGGACTGATTGACTGAAAAAGCACTTTAGACTGACAATAGTTTGCAGTCTCAGCCTCTCTGAGAAGCCTGTAAGCCAAAGGGAAATCTTTAAATAAAGTAGTATTTTTCTAAAGAGAGAATAAGGAACAAACTTTACACTCAGGTCTTTCATCTTCTCCACTCTTTCACTGAGCTTGTTATGTTACAACCTGCTTTTTTCGGAAGCAGCTTTTAATAAAAGTAGCTTTGAATTGAAACTTTTTTACCTCCTTCTTAGTTCAGATTGTTAAAATGATTCTTTTGTGCTCAGAACAAAAAAAAACAAAAAAACACATAAGGACAAAACATGCAGGGAGTCGTTGAGTGGTGTATGAAAAGACCTACAGTTCTTAATTTTGGTGAATGAGTAGCAAAGTTCCTCTATTTTGCAGTTCTGCTTCAACAACCAAAGACAATACAGCCTTGGTGATCAATGCAGATTTGAAAATCTGAGGCAACAAAAGGCTGTCATGCTCAGATACCCGTGAAGAAGACTCTAGAAACTATCCTCATAAATTAGAAGAACTTGATAGAAGGTGCACTTCCTAGTATGACCAGGTTCACTCTTACACCAAAGGGCGAGCGCTCCTTTAGCTCTTCGGCCAAACCACACAGCTTTAGAAGGAATTAGAGCATCTGCTGCCCCCCAGTAATTTCCAGTCTTCTGCCACTGGACTGATAAACTCAGGGCACAGATGTTGACATGAAGACTTAAGGATGAGAGAGGGAGAGGCTTAATTTTGTGCATCTGCATTTGGAATGGAGCAAGCTATCCTCCATGAACACATTCACAGAATAATAAAACTCACGTGGGGAAAGGTTTTATTAAACAAAGAGACTCCTTGTATCAACTGGTGAAAAATTGCACAAATGGAGGGCTATTTTCCTGCTTTTCTGGAAACAGTCCATCAGCCATTAAAAAAAAAATCCACAAAAATAATTTTTTTAAAAGAATCACACTGCTATAACACCAAGAGTGAAAATACCCATGTTTAAATTATCTTTGACATCTTAGCTTCTGTTTCCTGTGAATGTGTCTCATGGTGTGAACCTCCCATCATCTAGTCACATGCTATTTTGAGCTTGTCCAGCAGCAAGTACAAGATGCTTGCTGAATAAGGACTCGCCCATGTACCGGAACGTGATAGGAAAAAACTAATATACAGAACATCTTCATTCAGTAACTCCATTCAAATGTCCAGTTAACAAAGTGACTTTACTGTAGAAAATAGTGCACACTAATATGTAAGAAGGATTGGCAGAATTAAATTAACTGCAGATACCTTCATTTTAGAATATGTTCTAAGAGTTTGGTGGATGTTGGTTTTTTTTTTGTTTTTGTTTTTGTTTTTGTTTTTTGGTTTGGTTTGGTTTGGTTTGGTTTGGTTTTTTTCTCAATCCAGGAAGGTAGAAAATAGTGCACACTAATATGTAAGAAGGATTGGCAGAATTAAATTAACTGCAGATCCCTTCATTTTAGAATATATTCTAAGAGTTTGGTGGTTTTTTTTTTTTGGTTTTTTTTTTTGTTTGTTTGTTTGTTTTGGGGATTTTTTTCCAATCCAGGAAGTTTTTTTGAAAAACACTCCAGGCTCTTACAGCATAGTAAAGATTATGAAAGTCAAGGAAGTCTGCAAAGACTAGAATTTCAGGCCAGGAAATCAGAATTCATAGATTGTGTCATTGTGTCATGTGCAAGTCCTGGTCTGCAGCTGGAAGTGATGGATGGAATTTAATTTGACTCATGTCCATTTTTTAAACTAGAAAATAGTAGGAGCATCGTTGTTTTAAGGAAAAATTTTCAGATACTGCATCACTTCAGATCAACATTTTCTCTCCTCCAAGACTACCTGTTCCTCAGAATGCTTGTTCTATCAAATCATTAAAGACTCACAAAAAAATAACATGTATAAGGTATGCCATAAGACACACAGTAAATGGCTCATGGGTGAGATGACGGAAACAGTTAAAGAACATACAGGTTCTCAATCCACCACCCTAGCAATGCAGGAAAAAATGTCTCTGGTGAATGTGGCAGACAGCATTATCTGGCAGGAATGCCTCACTAGAGCTAAGTTTTGGGCAGAGTTGCTAAACAGTAGCTCATGTGACATCCAGCATAGACCTGAAGCTCAGTATTCAGGCAAATAAAATGCACAAATAATTCCAGTTTAGAGTTTCCAGCCTCTACAATACTGGTTAATAATATACTCACAGGAAAGTATTTATTTTCTCCTGATTATCAAAAATAAGGATTAGCTATATAAAGTTTCTTGCCATTCCCTTCATCTAAATCATGAAAGCACAGTAATACCATATGCTGTGTCTCAAAGGAAAGAAAAATATTTTGCTTCAGGTACAGAGGTTGAGGTCCAAAGTACAGAAACCACCGTCACAGGCATCAGTAATTTGTAATCCCGGTAACCTGAAATTCCTACTTGCCAGAGTATCAGGGCCCAAATTTCTGACAATGTGAAAGTTAAAGGCAATGCCTGTTCAGTACAGCTGGGACAGATCACCACCTCAATGACTGACTGGACTAAAAAAACTTGCAAACTGTAGTTTTTCAAGAATATGTCTATTTTAGTGAACAGCGCAGTTTATACAATTACCTTCTGTGGGTGAGACATAGCTTTTATTTCTAAATCTATAATTCATGATCTCAGACAGACAGCCAGATTTCCAAGTAGCATGAATTCACAGCTGCTTTAGAAGGATATAGTGATCTCAGGATAGATTTTTTTGCTGCTGAGTGGTGGATGTACACTTGGGAGAGCATCAGTGCACAAATCCACACTCACACAGAAGCACGGAAAAACAGAAAAGCAAAGTCATGCTCCAAACTGATGAATCTATTGAAATGGCAGAGATTAAGGTGCTGCATTTGGCAAGAACATTGTACAAGGGACAGTGTGTCTGTCACAACAGCATAAAATACGAGGTTAGAAATGCAGAGTATCACCCACACTATCTCTGTGGATATCAAGACGTGTTATGAATGGAGCAGAGCTTCTGTTCAGGCAACGTATGAATGCAAGCTCTGGGATAAAGTAAGAAAGCTTTGACAAGCTTGGGCCACAGAACTACCATCAAATTCCATGAGAACCTTTAAAGTTCTCAATTTCATTTTAATGCAGGTATCTTTGAAATTACTAGAGAAATTTCACCTGCTACTTACATTTTCAGGAAATTGTAGTTACCAACTTTTGAAATATTATAGCAAATGTAATTTTTGCTTTTTCCTTTAACAAAATGAATACAAACTGTACAGATATCAGTATCTCTTTTGCCCTGCATTAAGATGGACTAAATTGTAAACAATATACATGTGAAAGAGGAGAATCCAGACTTTGAGTACTGCTGTAATTTCACATTGTTGCCTTAGTATTTTCCTAAGGACTGAAATGTATGGGTAA